GAGCTGTTCGTAGTAGCCTACTCCACGAGACAACGAGACGTTTACTTGTCCTTACTCCGGGGTACCAACCAGAATCACGGGAAGCTTAGCGTGCACAATAAAGACAGAGGGCAAAGAGCCAGCTGCTAAAATAATGGAGTGTAGGCCTACAATGCACACACAGGACAAGTGGTGTGATACTGTTACAATCTGTTTGAAATGAGGACATGATAACTGGACCAAGATTTGCTTTAATTACTAGTAGGCTATCTTAAATATGTTTTAAACAAGTGATACGCAACCCCTGTGGGAACTGTTTGCTCACAGATACCAATGCGTATTTTCTAGTATTTCAAGCAGACAATATTCGAAACCATTTTATATCTTCGTACTGACTAGACCCAGTCTTGCGAAAAGGCAGAGAGCGAAGACGATCCTACTGAAAATAGTATTTTGATAAATCGTATAACAAAACAAAATTTTGATAAGGTACAGGACAAAACAAATTCGGAAAACTGGAGCCACAACTCCAAAACCACAGCAAAATTATTATTCATAGTTAATAAACAGGATTTCAGAAAGGTGGGGGGAACAGCTCGTAAAACATTATTGTTTTGTATACTTCACTTCTAAGCATATAATATAAAAGTACATTTAAATCTCTTATGTTGAGTAGTACAACGTGCACAACATCAGACGCATTAAGCTATCAAGTTCCTAAAGAACAATACAATGCTCTGTGGTGTGTCTGTAAAGTTCTTAACAACCAGCGCTGGTGGTATATTTTCTCCCACACATTTTTATTCCCACACGCCTTAAACCAGGTAGACATGGTGTCCGATTTCGCAGAAAGCATAAAACAACCATGGCTATTCTGACCAGGTAAAAATAATGTATTTGATCGTATCTTATTTTGAACAGAAAATTGTAAAAATATTGTTTTTGTTGCGCTTTGGCACGCAGGTCAGATTTTCATGCGAAAATTTAAAGAAAAAATTGCGAGGGGTTGTTTATGTTCGCTTCTTTGTTGACACCCACAACAGACTCCTTGAGCATATTTCCGTACTGAAGCTTCATAATATCATAGTCTGTTCATTATTATTTGGACACCAGAAAACATTAAAAAAATATTCTACAGCATTTTAAGTGCCTCACAGCAGCATACACCAAACCGTACAAAAGCCTGTCCTGTAGAAAAAGGCTTTAACTCGTCGAGGTCCAGAATTCTGGTCACTCAACAACGTTTCACAGGGGCGCACTGTTTTAAAGGCACATAGAAAAGATATATGTAAACTTCTTTATTCATACAGATTGATTCTGCTTGATCTCACCATTGGATTGCATAACTCGTGAGCGCAGTGTAAAATCTTACGTGAAACAGCTATTTATAGTATAGCTCCAAAGATATGGTTGTATAGAACTGCTCAGATATTAACACACACGCGCAGAATAGAGGATAAGAACGTTTGTGTTCGTGTTTGATACAGGTACTTTTAACACCAAGATATTGTGTCAATAATAAAAAGTAGGGCCTAATTGATAAGCAATACTCTAATTATCAATTCAGGAATCTTTTTTTGGTGTCAAAGATACACCAGAGCACCACTTATAATCTGATGAAATTAAAACTAGTGGTTGATCATTTACCGTGCCACGAATGTGTCTTTTTAACAAAATGACTGACTAGCGCGAGTTAGTTGCACGAACACTCCATGAAAACTAATTCTTATTACACGTTCTGAGTCAGTTCACGAAGTGCCACAGTTTGGCTCACTCACATAGCATGGCTCCGACTCTATAAGTTAAGTCAAAAGACTTGGGTGATGGTATTTTAATGTTATTATTCTACGCGCTACAATTGCCTATTTAGCTGCAAAAGACTGACACTGACATAACTTAGCCTCCCATTCTACACTAGTGTGACACTTTTTATTCATGACTCAGCTCCAGTTGTTTGAAAATGAGAGTTCTTTTTGTTGGAAGGAAGTGGTCATATGAAACATTTTACTTTTCCTGTAGGTCCAAAGTACAGCCCCCCCCCCCACCTCT